GGAGACTGATGTGGAGGGAGGAGATGGTGGAGGAAGGAGAGGGCGACTATGTGGAGGGAGGTTTACTGATGGAGGAGGATGGGGGCGAGAGGGAGACTGATGTGGAGGGAGGAGATGGTGGAGGAAGGAGAGGGTGACTATGTGGAGGGAGGAAAGACTGATGGAGGAGCAACAAGAAGAAGAGCAAGACAAAGTAGAAGAAGAAACGAAAAGAAGAAAAAGAACTGAAGAGGCTAAGAATAAGAGGATCGACGCAGATCGACAGCCAAGGCACAAAAAAAAAAAACCCATGAAACAGGGCCTACCAGGCCCTGAAAAATTTTGTGGCCGCCGCCTAATTTTTTTTCCCCCTTTGGGCCGTAGGCCTGCGGTGCCAATTTTTTTTTTTTGAGGTTTTTGGGGGGTGGCGCCCGGCCGGGCGCCCCGGGCGTCCTTCCGGGCGACCTGGGGGGGCCCGGGCGCCCGAGCTGGAAAGCTAGGTTAAAAAGCATTTAAAAGCGGGAAGAAAAGCTCGTTTGCTTATTCGTATACAACGGATGGAAAAGAACTCCGCGAGACGTCCCTGTTTTTCTGGACGTTATTGTTTGCCTTGTTGCAGGGGTGGGGTGGATATCACGACCAGTATGATTCCACTTTATGATTCCACTTTTGAACGCCGCGTTGGGGCTGTTGTCGTTAAGAGACTCGGTTCCTGAGGGTGCTGGGGTCCGAGGCCGTGCGTGCGCCTGAAGCCCTGAAGCACGGATCAGTAATCTGCTATTGTTGTTGCTCTCGGTTTTTCTCGCGACTCTTGCAGTTTCGTCGCCTGGGCCCATGCAATCATCGTTGCGGTGCAAGGAGACGATCCTTCAGATCCTTCATCAGTATTATCTGTGGTCGGAGTCGTCAACGCAATGGTTCACATATTCAAGGTGGGTGCGTAAGTGGACGTTCACATATTTCTTTTCTTTTTGTTTTCTTTTTACTTCCTTTTTTTTTTTTTTTTTTTTTTTCCATCGTTCACATCTTTCTTTTCTTTTTTCTTTTTACTTCTTTTCTTAATGCATGTTCACATCTTTCTTTTTCATCTTGTTTTCCCACTTGTTGCTCTGATGGATCGCAGGTTTTTTTGTTTTTGTGTGTGTGGTTTGGTTGTTGGGGGGGGGGGGGGACCATTTCTGCTAATTACCCTTCTCTGTACTGTTGTTCCAATTTTGAGCGTATGTCTCGAAGGACAACTGATTGGTGCAAATTTGAAATGTCACAGCACAGATGTTCCACGACCCATGTGCAAACGGATAAGGATTTACAAAAAAAAAAAAAAAATTCAACTTTTATTTTGTGAAGGATGAGGTTTAAGTGGATGATGAGGTTTCTTTTTTGAAATGTCATTTTTTTATTTTTTTTAATGTAATCAAGTTAATCAACTACCTTCTGCCCTTGCCCCCTTTTTTCTTTTTAAATAATTATAATTTTCAATTTTGTCATTTTTGAACCGTTTCTCGATTTATGCGTGTCATGTTTAAATGTGCAGTGGGCCCATGCTAATCTTCATTCTTTGTATCGTTCCAGTTTTACGGGATGTCTAGAAGGACCTGGTCCCTTTTTTTTTTTTTTATGCGTGTCATCCTTGCGCAGGGGCCATGCACCTGGTCCCTTTTTTGTTTGTTGATTGGATAGTCAAGTTCTGCTAATGGATTGATTATCCGAAACAATCCTGTTTGTTGGAGCAGGTCGGGGGTCGCGATATACTTGCCACTGTCGCGGAGCAATGTTGGTCAGATGCATGCACTTTGGCAGCGTCTCCAATGGCGCAATGCAGCTCACTTACCATGAAGCTTCTGATGAAATTGGCGGAAAGGATCAGCTTGACTTATCTGCCACCGAAGATTCCCACCTGGCGGTACAAGGTGAGGAGCTCCAGTCCAGATGCGCTGAACGGTGTAAACCGTGCAAACTGCGTGAGGTCGTTAACTTCACATATTCTCAATTCTGTTTCGTAAACGGTGTAAATCGTGGTTTACGTTCGTTGTCGAACNCCCCCCCCCCCCCCCCCCCCCCCCCCCCCCCCCCCCCCCCCCCCCCCCCCCCCCCCTTCTGTGTCGCCCTCAACTCTCCCTTGGCTGGGCAATTTCCTGTTCTGGTCTTTTCTTTTATGGTTGCTTCCGCAGCCGCAGACTGTGACAATGATGTCACTAGATGCGTCATCCAGCCGGAATCGGTACACGAGGCTGGCTGGGAAGCAGCCTTCCCTGTCGTACGTACATTCGGCTGACTGATGCGGTGGATTGAAATCAAGTAGAGGGCTCCGTATGAAGAGAGATACTCGCTGCCCTTCAGGTGAGCTCGGACCGGATGCATTTACGTTTGCGTTTACGGTTTAATTTAAATTTGGATTTACATTTGGATTTAACAGGTAAAGCTGAGGTTGTTGTGTGGCATGATGGCATCCTCCATTTGGATTTAAGTTCGGCTTTTGGATTTATATATTTGGATTTACATTTGGATTTACATTTGGATCTACTTTTGGATTTACTTTTGGATTTACTTTTGGATTTACTTTTGGATTTACTTTTGGATTTACTGGATTTCGAATTTATATTTGGCTTGACAATTGGATTGAGAAATTGAGAATTGGATTTACATTTGGAGTTTGTCTAAGCGTGAGTGGCATTCTAAGCTTGGGGGATTTCACGAACAATTTTTTTTGTGTTTCCGATTCTGTGATCTGAACAGTTAAAAGATCGGGTTGCATCGAGCTCTCTAGTACACATCTGAAACGCGTCTTTTGTCGTTAGCTGCTGGACTTGTCATTATTTGAGGCGCAGTTTTTTTTTTTTTTTTTTCCGGGTACCCTACTACCCGGTTCTATCTGCTAGATTTTTCGGAACACGGCCATAACCATCCATGGACGTTTTCCGTTGTTGTGGTTGTCTTTTGCAGCGCTGTGAAAGGTCGCTTAGTCGAACTCTGGGATCGATCGGTTGCGGTGAATTCCCTCACAGCCCTGCCATCCAGTCAGATGTTGCTGCGCGTGTGGAGAGGGAGAAAGCAGATGTGGGTTGGAGACCTCCCTCCTTGAAAACTGGTGGGATGAATGGAGTGTCCGGCGGCGGATTGGCACTTGCGGGGGGAACCATTGATAATGGAGAGGAGAGGGGTGGGGAGGACGAGGGTAATGATGGAAATGACATGGACGATGACGCGAATGATGACGAGGATGAGGATATCCCTGAGGTGATTGAAGACGTAATCGAGCAACTCCTTGCCGGGCTACGAAATAAGGTGCGGAGGATATCCGGCTACGACAGGATAATCCGCGTCTGGATAATCCGGAATGCTGCGTGGCATGCCAACAAGACCTAAGAAATGCATATTAGGAAAGAAAGTGAAATTCACAACAAAGAAAGTAATCCAAAAATGAATTTGGCACAAGGTTTCTGGATATTAGCATACTTTGAAAAGGAATATATGGCAAGATATAATTCAAAGAAACCTTTTGAGTACGCCGCCGCCACTCTCGCTCTCGCGGCGGATAGGACGCACACATAACTGATATTGTGATCATTGCGACTTTCGGAAAAAGAAATTGGATTCTGCCCGTATTTCAGACCAGATACATGTTTTTTTTTTGTTTTTTTTTTTTCCCATGGGGATATTTGCCTATTTGTTTTGAATTCTGAACTGAATGCTGTGTGGCGTTATGCGGTTTATGCCTTTTGCAGCGTTCGCACACATAACTGATATGGCATTGCACACCATTCAGACATTGGCTGCCCTGCGGGTGTGTCTTACGTCCTGCTGGTCGTTTGTGATGCTGTCGTTGATGATTCTTCAAGTTCTTTTCATCCGTTCTAGATTCGCAGTATTTTTTTTATTTTTTTTTCCCCCCCCCGAATATTTTGTTATAATTATCCCACACCTGGCAGTTGGAACTTGAAAGCCAGTCCTCTGGGACATCCGTTAAAATTGGAAAGATACAGAGAATGAGGATTGGCATGGCCCGCTGCACGAAAATATTTTTTAATTAAAAAAAAAAGTAAAAAAAAAAGAAGAACTTGAAAGCCACAGAGTTGACTTTTTGTGTTTGACCCACAAAGTGTCAACTTTGTCTGAACTTGTGTTGAAGTTTTTTTTTTTTTTTTTTTTTTTGTAAACGATCAGTACATTTCCCAGCGGCAGTTAACATGCACTGCGTCCTTGGGGGCTTGGCCTACCGAATGGAAAAAGGTTGTTGGTGCCAGGCAGAAAAGGCAGGATTTCACACCCTTGCATGTTGATTTTTTTTTTTTTTTTTTTTTTTTTTTTTTTGGACGCACGGTAGAAATCACCGTTGAGAAAAAGAGGTTTGGATGTAGTGGTTGGCTTAAGAAATCAGCAACGAGGTTGTAGTTTGTCATTTATTTTTGTCCTTGCTGTTGCAATCAGACTAGCTTTCTTTCCACTTCGCACTCATGCAAGCAGATGGTGAATCACACTGGCGCACAGTGCCCACTCAAAGCTCAGAGATATGGAAGTCGAAAACACAGTTCGGATACAAGCTCGCTTCAGCAGGCTATGGCGCATCAGCGCCTGTACACTCCAACTCTCGTCTCTCTATCCCAACACCACTGTTTGCACTCACTCAACTCCGGATCACCCTGGATATCCCACATGCCTACACACACCCTCGTACTCGTACAGTCGCCTATCAGCTATGGCGGCTATGGCCGCTGTCCCTCTCCTAGCTATGTCTATCTCCTTAAGCCCACTTTGTCTTCGGGCACTCTGCAGACCACCCTGCACAAGTCGCTCAAGCAGCGCTTCCGCATGGCTTACGCAGGAATGAATGAATGGCTGGGCGCTGCCTCTTAATTTGTACTTCTGTTCGCTGCTGGTCTACCTCTTTCCACCCACCGGGCCCGTGGTGCACACAGTCCCTCATGGTACTTGCTGACCGGACTCAGTGAGACTGGGACTGGGTACCGCTGACTCAGCAAGGGTGGACTTCACCACTTGCCCACTTGCCTCTAGTCTACTGTGAGCAACGTTGGAAGGGCCACTTCCGGACCTTCCGGAAGTCTGTGGACTTGGCCCTTCGACACTGTAGCAGCCACGACCTCGACCTTTCAGGACTGTAGCAGCTACGGACTTGACCTATCAGAAGGGCTACGGCTACGACTTCTAGAACTCGCTAAGACCTCTACCGGACAGGTCTACAGATCGAACCCCTACAATCTATGGACCTACGTCAGCCTACCAACTGTTGCCAATACACAGGTCACGCGTTCAACTCTCGGGGTCGACACAGGTACTGTACACAGGTAAGGTAAAGACTAGGGATTGAGCCCTGGGATCCGCATTCGCTGCTGCTAACAGGTGAATACCATTTCACTGTCTTTTTTTTTTCCTTTTTTTTTTTCTCTTTCTCTCTCCTTCGATTGCGATTGATTTTTTTGTGTTGTGGTGGGACTTCCTTGACCGCAGCAAGGAGATGTACGGTGGTCGGCGGCGAAAGGCATTGGTCGGGTGACTGGTCGGCTGCCCTTATCACTCGCAGACGATGTCGTAGCGTCTGTGCTGGAATTATTCAAGCCAACAGAAGTAAGCAGCACTCACGCGTGAACTGCAACATGTCACAATGACGTCTTTTTGTTTATGCTAATATTTGAAAATTAATATTTTTATTTTTAGTAGGATTAATATTAAGATATTAATATCATATTATTAATTAATGCCACAAAGCTTTTTTTGATCTAGTCCTCTTTTCTGTTTTAGGAAGCTGAGAATCAACCAATTGTGTTTTTTCATGTCTCTCCCTGACACACACATCCAATTATGCGCATTTGCGATCTCCAAATTGCACTTGTGGCCTTCTTGCGCGGTGTGCTGCGCACTGTGCAGTGCACCTTAAAAAAAAGAAGAGTTGTGCACCTAGGCTACCAGCCGGGCCGCCCGGGTCACCTTGTTTGCCCGGGCGGCTCGGCTGTGCAACGACCAAACAAGGTCCCCGTATATTATAACAACAACAACAACAACAACAACAACAACAACAACAACACCAACAACAACAAACAAACAAACTGAAAGCAAATTATGTTATGCAGACAAATAAACTGAACAAACACATCTGAAAACAAATTATGTTATGCAGAAAAATCAGAAGTGAACACTTCCTGCCTGTTTCCCATCTGTGGCTATCTTCCGACCAAAGGTGTTTCACCTGTCACAGACTACTCAAAAACCTTCATGATGATAAATCATGATATCCTCATCTCCATCCTGAACGAGTGGACACGCCTATTGCGAAGTAGTCCGCAACAATGGAGAACAGCGACTGGGCAACCTGGAGTTTCAGCGACAAACCTCCGAAGCCTTTCGTATCGGGGTGGGACCGACCAAAGAGAGTGGTTGAGTGCAGCAGAATTGTATGCAATCTCAGTTCCCGATGTCACCGTCAGTCAATTGGACAAGCAATCACGCACCCCGATCACCATCAAATTGGATAAGCTTGAGGAAGGTGAGAGTAATAAATAGAGACTGAAGACTTTCACGATCTTCGCCCCGACAACCAGGATCCAGAATCTAGAAATAGACCCAGCAGAATGGGCCTGATCCGCCTCGAACATCAGAGAGGGCACACTATGAGTCGGCAGCAGAATTAACATCCTACATTATACCACCAAGCTGGCCTACCGACTGAGGAAGTGCTCACTCCCGCTCGCCCATCCACTGTCGGTGAGATGGGAGAAGAGGGCTGCCATACCGAGAGAACAAGTCGAGCAATTGCCTTTGGCCATGGCTACACACCATCAGGTTAGGTAAGAAGATCAAGAGTATGGAGTGGCTCATTTTTCACGCGGCACTCGCGGTCAACCAGTGGCTGTACGAGTGGCGTAGCAGACACCACAGAGACGTACCGGACCAAGCCTGCTCCCAGTGCGCGGGCGGCGCACTCGAAACTCTGGCGCACTGCCTCCTACAATGGCCCCGAAGCGGAATACCTATGGGCAGAGGCTCGAACGCTGTCGCTGCGCATTACGTCGGCTTCCTTCCCACAAGAGGCGAAGTGCCAAAGACTTGGCAGCCCCACCAAAAGCACACCTTCCAGCTGTTAAGACAATAAGCGTTATGGACTATCTGGAAGCGGAGATGCGAACAGGCGATCGGGCAGACGCCGATGTTCTGAGGAGAAGCTAAGGCGACGCTCTCCAACCGGGCATCACGCGTTGTCGAAATGGGTATCAGAGCCCAATGGCAGAAGGCCAAAAAGACAGGCATCAGTAAGTCCAGGACGGGCCTTCTGGACTTCGATGAAAAATTCGAGAACAGGATTCTGGCGCAGGGGAAAGTAGCCACTATCGAAGGAGCTCGGCGGGTCTATCATCGGTTTCGGGAGGGACAGCGGGAGGTCCCCATGGGAGACCCGTCAAGTACCTGCAGTCTCAGTCTTCCATAGAACCGGGCTTGGGCGCTCCTACAGAAAGCAGAGGGCCTACAAGGGAAAACCCAACACTTTGAGGGGTAGTATCTAGGATACACAGGAGGGGGGAGGGGGGGAGCAGGGTTTTGGGTTCAATGGGGGAACCAGGGAAGTAAAGGAGAATTGATAACTAGCACTGCGCCCCTGGGGAGTGCCTGTATTTTCCGTTATTTTAGGCTGTTCCAGCTTGCTGCTGAGATAGAAGCTTGTTATTTTCTGTGTCCAGAACCTCTTCAGAGTGTAAGGAGGTAGTATCCAGGACACAGGGGTGGGCAGGGTTTAGGGTTTAAGGGGAGAACTAGGGAAGTCAGGGATAGCCTGTTAACTAGCGTTACACTCGTGAGGACTACTCGTGTTTCAGCCTGCTTAGGCTTTCCCTTCTTTTCTAGGTAGAAATTTGATGCTTTCTTAGTTCAGTTTTTCCTTGTTAGAATTATGCCCAAGGGGACGTTGGACCCGGTTTCCAGCCAAGCCAAAGCTGGGTAATGGCTCCAGTACACCGGGTTGTGATGTGGAGGGATTTTCGTGGCCTTCTTTTGCAATTGTTAATATATACGTGCTGCAGCAAGACAATGTACCAAGTACTACCAACACTCCGCGACCTTCTCCTTTGCACAACCACAAACACTGCTACACTCAGCTGCACTGAGAATGCTCAGCTAGGTCTTCCATGTGCTCATCCACCTCATCCTTACGATGTATGTATACTCTGTCGTCAAGGACAGACTCATTCTTGAGCCTTTTTCTTATCCTCTTTTGCCTTCATCTTCACTCCACACTCCATACTTTCCCTTACTTTCCCTTCATCGTTCTTTGTTTGTCTGCTCTCCATCTCTCCTCCCTGTGTTTATCCCCTCCCCCTTCACTCTGCCTCTTTCTCACAGCGTACAAGTGGGCTGTTATGGCACACGGGGATGGGGGCAGCTCATACTCAACTTCATCAACGTGGCGAGCCTTGTACGTGAGAGGCACGGTGAAAGGGGAGTCAAAAGAAGAATGAGAAAAATGAATGGTTTTAGTGTGCCCTTCATGTTTTTTTTTTTTTTTTTTTTAATTTTTTGTTTTTGCCGATTGTTTCGCAAAGTGCGATCTTTTAGTTCATAACTTTATGTGACAATATAAGTATAATTCTTTAAAAAAAAAAGAAAAAAAAAAAGAATGTGAACACTTGTGCATGGATTGACTGGAACCATCCGATCTTGTTGTAGCAAAGCAGAGTAACGTCAGCGACGACTGACACTCAAGCAGATCACATAACCGAAACATGCGACAAAATGACTCGGCAAATACGTGAGACAAAATGTCAAAATCTAATAACCCTACTAAAACTTAGTAGGCCGCGGGGCGACTCTCGCTTCTGCGATGGTCCACGTTAGTGTTTTTTGCATTGGTTAGCGTGAGACGTCCGATGTAAAATTCTGACGCGCGATTGTTTTCATCGCGAATCGTGAGACGTCCGATGTAAAATTCTGACGCGCCTGACGCGTCTGATGCGTTTGGCGTTTGTTTTTTTCTCGGGAGTCCGGTTTCGTTTCGTTTTTGCGTTCTCTTTTATGCTACGGGCCTCACTGCACTTCTCTTGAAATACGGACAGATACACGGCCATGATTTTTGTTTTTGTGGATGTCGAGAGTACAGAATACGGACAGTGTATCTGTCCGTATTTCAAGAGAAGTGCAGTGAGGCCGGTAGCGATTTTTGTTTTTTGT